ATGATGATAATGTAAATTAGCCGCCGTAAGGAAGTTCTAGAACTAACGTTTCGACTATTAGCCCTTCGTCAGACTTAAGATCTGATAAAACCAAAATATATTGCATTATTTTTTCTCGGTTCGTGAGCAGGCTGTGTCGGTTTCGTGTTGAATCACATTGGAGAACATCTCTAGCTTCATTGCGATTTTTCATAAATATATCTTGTTTTACAGGCTGGGAAGCATTTTTAAGCAAAGACTTCGGTCACGACCTTTAGCCAATAAATAACATTAATATTCTCTTCTCTCCCTCCCTCAAATCACTGATGTTTCCGCGAAATTGATTTTGAAATCAATTTTGTAGTACTAAACTTGCTTTTAAACGGATTGACACGCTGCCTAAAAAACCCTTCGTAATTTTTTTTATCGTTCACAAAACGTAACTTAGAAAGTTAAAACGAAAGCTATCTGCGGTTAACAGTTACAATTAACAATATGACTACTTCATTCAATATTTTAAGTTTTACAGTTTTTAATATTGATGCTGAAAAGCCCTTTTCAGGGATGCTCACTAAAGTGTATGTATGTATGTATGTATGTATGTATGTATGTATGTATGTATGTATGTATGTATGTATGTATGTATCTGAATTCTCCAAAACATTTTGTTCCTTTGAGAAACGTTAAGCGAAAACAAGTTCCTTTAACTTACCCATTTTTACCGNCTCGAACGAGCTGAACGCGTGGAGGAGCTTAAAAGGAATTGTTAGGAGATATTCATGCTTCCATGAATAATAACAATAGTCTCTTCCATTGTATAATGAAGAAAATGATTGCGGAAAAAGGTGATGCATTAAGTAGGATTCTTCAACCAGATAACGAAAAAAGGCTTATACGAGGGAAAATCTCTATTAGTAAAGCCCTCAATCATGTCGTGCATCTCTAGCTTCCCATCAGGACCAGAAATGAAACGACTGTTCCATGCAGATGAATTTGACCTTAGCCATGACGCAGTCGGTTTAGGATTTCCTCTAGCGGAACACTGAAACACTGCACTTTGATTTTCTTTAACCGTTTGCCCGCTCGGTGACACCACAACCACGAGGGATGAAATGGATTCTCCGGGTTCTCCTTTGGCACCGGGTGGCCCGTGGGACCCGGGACTCCTTTTAACCCTTGCTCTCCCCTTTGACCCGGTGGTCCGACTTTTCCCTGCTTTCCGTACGATCCTGGTTCTCCTCTGATACCACGTGATCCTTTTCTTCCCTGGGCTCCACCTGGTCCTCTTCACCCTCGGGATCCTCTGAGTCCTTGCATTCCCGGCGGTCCTTACACGCATATTTTTTCTCTCCGTGAACAGAATGATAGCGAGTGTAAGGTTTTGTTGATCTCATTTCTGATTGCCACCATGGTAATTTGATCTGGTTTGGCTCCAGATTCCGCTGAAAATCGGCGAACTCTGTCAATGCGCGCTGGCGAAGAAAAGAAAGATTTTGACCTAACGTTGTCGTCATTTTCCCATTTGAAAAAAAAAGCCATTTTTTATCGATCTGAGATCTTGAGACTATCGTTGAGATTTGCATGTTTGAATTCTAAGCGATCAACGTAAACGTAATTAACATCTCAGGCCTTAAATTGTACTTTTTATACTTTGATATTTGAGCTTATAATTTCCGCATTCACCGATGGATATGCCTCCTACAGTATACTGAGTACATCACCGGTGATAAATTCCGGTATCACAGATTAACTTTTTGTATATATCACACAATCAGGTGAACAGAATTTTTCTATAATCGATCTCATCCCTCTGAAAACTATGTGACCCCCCTTCGATCTCCTCTGGCGATAAATAACGTTGTTCCCTAGTGCCTATCGACAAAGGATCAAGAATTTTTGACATCTTCGTTTCTACCTTGAAGATACTGCATGTTTACATACAAGCATTGAATGCAGTTTTAGATTCTTTTTATTTCAGGAAATTGACCTCCTGTCATTCCATTACCCTACGGCCACGTGCACAGCTAATCACTTCAGCACGAGAGGAAACTTATGTAAAAAGAAAAGAACATTCTACAGATCTGAGATCTTACAAAAGAAAAATATAACGAAGCAAACTTTAAATTGTTCTTCACTATCGCTATTTAATTGTTATTCTTAATTGCTCGCTAAAAGCATTAATGATGAATGGTTAAGAATTAACGGGTAACAGATAAGGTGAATCCAAGGTCATGTTACCAGTCATCACAATTCGTAGAAAAATCAGCCAAAAACGAAAACAAAATCTACGAAAGAGATACATCTACTAAACGAGATGAAAGGTCTGTCTGGGACTGAACGCATTTTACCATGTTTCATTTTGTGTTGGTAAACGGATTTCGAGTTTACTGAGCTGAGCAGAAAGCACAGAATCAACCTATTGTAGTGCGACTGATGATTCAAAACAAAACACAATGTCGAAGGAATACCTTTCATCGCACCTTGTCCCTCTTTGGAGATGTGGCAGCCAGGTTCTCCAACGGAATAAGGCCTTTTAGATTTTCTAAAGCTGCTTGCATCATTGGTATCTTTAATCGAGTCATAAGTTTGCGTCAGTTCCGCAATAACATCTTTAACATGATGAACTCGCTGGTTTATGATCTCAACATGAACCAAGGCAGTGGTACAGATTACTAGACACACCAACAACACNATCAAAATAAATGGAAAAGTTCCGGTTGTTTCGACGCTGATTCCTTCGACCTTATCACTACCATTACAAGTCCAATTTTCGATTTTCACCAGATCGTGCGTGCTCTTTTCTATCTGCCCGTAACAGCGAATCCAACTCCTTAGCCACTGAATACTGATCTTGAGAGCCAAGCTCAAAGAAAACAATGAGCATTCATTAAGTGACAAAGACAAATATTCATAAGAGCATATGTTTCCACCGATGAAAGTTCGTGGATGAGTTATCCTGGATGGAGTGCTATTTTTTAAGTCCTAATTATTTTCAAAGAACAGGAAGTTCTTTGAAAACTAAAAAAAGCCTTGTATTTTTTGAGCATGGTGACTGAACTATATAGTTGCTGGTAACATATAAAGGATCCAGCCTTGTTGAAGTTTTACGATCACCTTTGATCATCTTATATACCTAATGATATATAATTATAGTCTGTTCAGTGCTGCGTCGAGTTTTTTTTTTTTTTCCGTCTTAATACTGAATGTCTTGTGAAGTACAGCTTAGGGTACAAGCATATAACAATGAGTTTTTTCAAAGAGGCTTTTTGAAAAAGTTTTAATTTCAATATTTTGTATTTTCTGTGTCCCACTTGCGCCTTGCCGCTAAATTCATTTCGTCTGCGTAAGAAATTCGAGCCCAAAAAGGTAGTAAGGCGACCATATATAGGTTGCATAAGGATATGAGTATGTGCATACGAAAGATTAAGATCATGCTCTGGCTTGCTTTGGTCCAGAGTACGAAATAATCAACGCAATGTAGAGTGTACGTAGCGAATTCTGTGTAAGCATCCTCAACGTAGTTACTGTAAGTATTGTAAGCGGTGTCCTTTGTGTGGTTATGATTAAAATTAAAAAGATAAATAAACATCATCACTGCTGGAACTGACTGACTCATTTTATAAAATGTTAATATCGCCAAAGGAATGTCCCTCGGACATTGTTCGGTTTTATTTTTCCCTAGGATATTCCTTGGTTTTAACCAGGACATGTTTAGTTCACGCGACGTGTTAGATCCATTGCGTACGAGCAAAACTTTTCGTGGAGTTTAGATCGGGTTAAAAGTTTCGAAATTCATCGAATGTATTCGTTTTAGGAGTGAATCTTTTGTAAGAAACAATTTTTAACGAGTAAGGCTTACTGCATGGATATCGTCTCCGCCATGCATGCAGACTGAAGAAAAAAACATCATGACCAGCATTTTAAGCTTATCAGAGTGGGAAAAATTATTCTATCGGTAAGGAAGCGCTTGGTTAAGTTGCAAGAAATAAAAATTTCAAATCAAGTCAACATAAATCATTGGAGAAAAATCAGTCGTTTGATAAATGAGATTCTTGATCTGTTAAAAAGAAAAAATTACCAACGAAAGGGAGATAGATCATGAACCAACGACAAAAAAGAAAATGATTGAAGCTTTATTTTTTTCAGATTTTAAACCCCATTTTTAAACTTGAACAGTTCCTGTTAACATATAATGCTTAAATCAAGTATAACTAATTCTTATGTTGGTACTGATATAATTGGCCTTGCAGTTCAATATTTTAATTTCAGGTTAAATATCACCAGCCATCATATTCGAGAAATAGCAAACTCGGTATCTCTTTCATCATGTATTGATCTATTTTCGTTTCATAGCGGCTGAAATTTTTTTAAGCTTACACTTTTTATGTCATGCATGCACCAAACTAGGATGTTATTTGAGATTCCATATATATTAGCCTATGCGCAACGTTTTCAATCGTTTTCCCCGCTTGCGTTAAGGAGGCGCGAGGAAAAAACCTGAGTGACGTAAGTCTTCCCGCGAGATATCGCATTTCTAGTCCAACTTACAAGTGGGTCCTTCACTGATCTCTGTCATGCGTTAAAAAATAGTCACAATCATAAACAAAAGAAAGGGAGGCAGATACCAATTTCCGCCTACGTACACGACAGTCAGCAAAACTTTTCTGCGCAAACTCATAGGAAATGTTTGATAAATTTATACGCTTTAAGATTAAATATACGGGTCCAATCTTTCCCTCCTAGAGTTCAACATAGTGGGATTTTCACCTTAGGATTTATCAGTAATGTCTGAATTTCTTTTTCCTATCTGGAGATAAGAATAACGAAATTCAATCAGATGGAATTGATAATGTGTTCACCGTTAAAAAAAATGATTCGTGAATCGTTGTTTTGGCCCAAGACAAACATTCTTTTTGTCACTTCTCCAAGTGTGTTTTTGATAGGCTGGCGATGTGACCACGTGTCACCCTAATACGGAAAGCACATCTGCAGTATATTATGAACCTTTGAAATTAAAATAGCATACTGAGAGCAGGTGCTTTGTTACGCAAATTTGTGAATCTTAATATTCAAGCGCCAAAAACTTTCAGGAATTACTGAAGTACATCGAGACGGCGACATCACTGTGACCTCTGAGACGACCGCGTGGAGCTTTAAATCTCACGGATCTTCTTTAGCGAAAGTTGTTCTCAGATCAAGTAGACACTCGTGAAACGAAGAGATAACATCTCTGGTAGAGCAAGAATTTATCAAAATGCTGAAAATCGTTCTCGTGTTGATTTTCGCGGCTTTCGCTCTGACAACGGCGTTGCCGTTGAGGAACACTTTTTACGAAGACGTCGATGATTACAGTCGCGATTTTATCCCGAAGGAAAACGCCGATTTTGACGAATCTGCCTATGATGGATATCTGCTTCGCCGCGATCCGGTCGAAAGAAACCCAGGTTTGTACCAGTTTTGCTTGATTTCTCCTTCGGAGTGCGCATTTTGTATTTACATGAGAATGTTTACTCGGTGTTTACAGATGTCTTGGGGAAGTATCGTAGCATGCAGGAACGCCTGTATGATGAGTACTATAACCGAGATGCACAGGGTAAGTGTCGTAGAACTCTCTCTCAGTGTCCCTAACGGACTATGAATACTATCACTTTCGTTACAGTATAGCTCTAAAATTCTCGTTAATAAATTCAACTTTGTCAAAAATGTGCAAAGAATGAAAGCTCTTAACACGGAATCGTCGACTCGTTTTTTCACCAATAGAAATCGGGCTATATTCTACATTTTCAGTACGGGTAATTCTAGACATATCGTCTAAAGAATTTGTTTTAATTGCACATTTTTTAAAAAAAAACCAAAAAGGGATCGAAATTTGCGTTTCAAAACACAAAATCGAATAGATAATGTTGGAAACTCCAGAATCTACGGGCGGAAATTTCGCCGCAGGGGGAACAGGGCACAGTAAATTTTAAAATTTTGTTGCTAGAGAGGGTTTGAATCGCGAAGATATGAAAATATTGGTCCTTGTAACGTTATAATTCAAGCGAGCAGACTCTAGTGAAATTTAAACAAGGAATGGTTTGCGGTGAATTTTCCCGGTGGAAAACTAAAGAAAACTAATTAATTTGCAAAACATTTTAGCCGATTCAAAATCGAGACATTAGTGGGACGGAAAATTATGATTTTCGTAAAAACTTGTAGTTTAGGTGCCGAAATTGTTTATCATTTATACCCTAGAACAGTAAGCCCGACCTAACTCGACGGTAAAACATTTCTGAACGGTATTGATCATTTAAAGGCGCGAGATGCCTTGAACACGTAAAAGGATCGAAAATAAAGAAAATTTCGCTCCTGTTATTTCGACAGTTGCGATAGTCGTCGGTAAATGGGTTAAATTCTTAACTAAATAACCATTACCCGATAAACGTCGAATTTCATGTAAGTTGCCTACGTGGTAATCGTTTTTTTTATTATATCTATTACCGCAAAGAAAAGTTGGATGAAGAACAGGTAATATTTCAAAGCAGTTGTTTAGAAAATGAGGATTGCCTCCGTCAGTTTATTGAATTTCCTCCAGCAGTTTCATTCGCAATCAAAGCTATTATGATCCTAAAGTTATCAGTTGACAGATAATGTGACAACTAAAGTGAAAAGACTGGACGGAAACGAATGAAGTGTAGTTTCAGTGACGAGAAACAGAGTAAATTTCGAATAGATTCTGCCTGAGTAAACATGGAAATAGCGAACCGGACGTGAAGTTGTTTTGCCGAAAAAATCAACTTGGAAAGCTAGGCTCGTTTTATGGAAAACCGAAAGCTCGTTCTGCTTTTTTTGATTACTATATGTCAGATAGCTGCTGTACTTAGCAACCAGTATTATTAAGAGATACAGGAACGCCGCGAGAAAAAACAAAAAAATATTTCAGTTTTATTTATCGCTCACATGGCTGCGGGCAAAGATCCGCCCTAAAAATAATCCCACGCAAAACTTTCAGTACTTCACATAAAACAGAAACATGGCCAAGTTACGGTCGACGAATGATGAAAAATCGAGGATAAAAAGCCAAATGCATTTGACTACGATCAAATTAAAGATCGTCATCTTTTCGAATTGTGGTCGATTTAGAAAGTTGTCTTTGAACTTCTTCAAGGCCGAGCAAACATAATGATTCGAGCTGAAAAATTTTATCACAATTACAATTGGTAAACCTAAGCAATATATATATCTAAAGATTAATGATTTCTAAACTTTTGGCTCTAGGCTTGGATATCACTTTCTAGTACAAATTGACGTCAAATAGGTACACTGACATGGGCGGGTTAGATATTCTGGCCAAATATTACCTACGATCAGGAGTGGAAAAAAAAGAAGAAAGTTGAAAGCCAGTTATGATTTTATTTTTGCGATATGTTTACTTTCGGAAATATGCAGCAAGTCATTGAACCACGACAAATTCCTGAGCGCCTAACTTTCATCACAGAACGGAGAGATTGTTTAAATAATCATCTCCAACTGCTCTGTTTTCCATGAATACCTCAGACTGATCACGTTAAAACTTTGCGGTCCCATCTCGGTGAACTCGAGCTTCCGCTAAATCATCACTAAACTTACCAAACTAGCAGCTAACCCGAACTTTCTGATATTACGAATTCTTTGTTTCTTGTTCCCTTCAAAAATCGCATTAGCGGGGGCTTTAAGGAATATTTACCTCGTGTTGGAATCAAACATGTTAAAATCTGCTTTGCCATTTGGGAAAAGTTTAAGGATCTTGCTCTTCGTTGTGCTTGAATAACTATGGAAATATCTTTTCGACTTGTTATGACCCAATATCGCCATTCTAAATAAATTTTTTCCCGTCCTCTCTAGCATTAAAGGCTGATTAAATAATTTTCAACCCATAATAAAAGTTGCGAGATTGATGCAAACTATGCGGGAAATGCTATTTAAAATATTTATGATTTACGAACATTAAACAATTTTCAACGTAATTACCTTGTATTGGACGAAATTAACATGACAGGCGGAAGATCGTTTTGACGAACAATTTAGATGTCGCAGTAGATTGCCTTTTAATTTGTTCACTACTCAGGCATGAATTATCCAAGAACCCATAGGTCCAAATTTAATCGTAACTGCACGGGAATTCAATTCTACATACTCGAATCTTTTATGGAACTTGATCAGTAAAGGGTTTTTTTTTTTTTTCTACTTGGGTAAATTTGAAGGATCTTGCTCTTCTTTGCGCTTGAACAACTATGGACAAACCTTTTCGACATGTTATGAACCAATATCACCATTATGCATAATATTTTTCCCGTCTTCTCCAACTCGCATCAAAGGCTGTTTTTTCTGTGCGAGAATGTGTTATTCAAAATATTTATTATTAATGAACTTTAAAAGATGTTCAACGTCTTTGCCATGTACGTGTTGGAATGAAATTTACATAACAGGCTGAAGGAAGACCGTTTAGACGAACAAGTAATTTAGAAGTCGAAGTAGATTGTCTTTTGTTCACTTTGTAGGCATGCAATATTCATAAACTAAGAAGTTCATATTTAATTGCAACTGCACGGGAATCCAATTCTACCGACTCGAGTATTTTAAGGAACTTGATCAGTAAAGGATATTTGAATTCAACTTGAAAACTGATAACTGGCTATAAGATATGGTTCGTAGAATTTATCGTCCTGATAACATCGCTAGAATAACACTGAGCTGGGCGGCGATTGATCTAAGTGCTTCGGAATAAGCGTTAGCCTTGGTTAACTGGGGAAGTTTTCCGGTAATTAATCGCCATATGACAAGTAATATTGATAAAAGCTTTTTCGTCATCCAAGCATAACTTGTAGAAAACCACAAAGAAAAGCGAATTCAATTGCCTTTTCACGAAGAATGGAGAAGTACAACAGCTCTCAGTGAGAGAGGCGAGCTAGCATACATGAAAACATGACACCCCGAGGGGCAAAGCGCATTTCTCATCAAGAAATTGCACTTTCGTTATCTTTTTATAGCAAGTAAAAGATAGAAATCCAATTAATCTTTCATGGAGAACAGACAATTACAATAGCTTTATGCTAGGGAAGTTCCCTTTGACATGGAAATATTTTACCCCACAGTGCAAGACACACCCTAACGCTGCAAATAAAATGCACGCTTTTGTTTCACCGCGTGTGAAATGACGAGTGCTCTCAGAAGCTTGAATGAAAAACAAATTCCTCGTTTCTCTCCAGTTGACAACAGTGCATCAAAAACAGTTGTCACTCTCAGACCCTTGTTTTAAGCGTTAACAAAAGAATACTCAAAGAGTTTAACACAGGGGTAACGCACGAAATCCTCGATAATAAGACTTAATTGAAAGTTTGAGTTCTCTTGGCCTTTTCCAGGTCAATACAATTTTATGCAGCCAAACAACTTGAAGTCAGGATAGTGAAAGGTGAACATTCTCGTTCACAGCTCTGGACTGCAAGCAAGGTCTCTTTTGTAATGACTGAAACAAAAACACGCAAGTCTTCTGTTCAATTCGCAAACATCAAAGCTTGTTTAATAACTTTGGACATTTTGGTGCGGTCGTGTACTCAGCAATAAGCAACGAAAATAAATCAATCAATCTTTTGAGGCTATATTGTAATATATTTTTTATTCTATATATTCTATTTATATTTGTTTTTAATAGTTACTCTGTTGGGCTAGTTCCAATCTTAATTCTAGACTTGCATGTATTAATTACTAATCCTTAGTTTTGAGGGCCACTGGTTTGTCAGCGTAAGGTGTCATGTGTACACCCTCTTTAAATAAAGTTGACTTGCTTACTTACTTACTTACTTACCTACTTGCTGAAACAAAAACACGCAAGTCCTCTGTTCAATTCGCAAACATCAAGGCTTGTTCAATAAATGTGGAGATTTTGGAGCTGTCGTGTACTCAGCATATAAACAACGGCACTAATTACACAACATTCCACCACAAAAGAATAAGCAAATTTAATCTAGTCGATCGATGATTAGATCTAGTCGATCATTAAATCTAGTCGACGATCGGTGATTAAAAGCAAACTTTGTCTTGGCCTCATCATTTCAAAATAGGTAACTCTAATCTTTCAGTAGTCTTTATAATTATATCATTCAATAGAGAAACATGGTTTCAAGACGATTTTAAGTTATTACTGCAATGATCACCATCATCATCTTCACAGTAAATTAGCAAAGTAAAATTCGGATCCCCAGAAAATCTCTCATGCAGCCAATGAGAACTCAAAAGAAAAAATAAAGAAATGAAAAGAAGAAAAAAAAAGAAGCCAAAAGCGCTGGAAACTGGGAGTGACAAAGTTGGGATTAAATTTAGTTTAAATTTTGCATCTGACTGAGGATGTAGAATAAATGTTCGACTTGATCTGTTAAACCCGTTAAATGTGTTTCAATCTATACAATCTCACTCGTATCATCTGACTCGTAAAATCGGATTCTTAATTTTAAGATAATAACTTTTGTAGACTCCATGGAAAAGTGACTTTTGTAGACTCCATGGAAAAGTGACTAAAACAAAACAACGACAAGAAACTAGAACACATGGCATCACATGCAAACTAAACCCAGTACTGCGCGGGTAGGGGAAAACAACTAGATATGACGTATTGCAATCAACAGAGAAGATGACGCAAGTTGTGTGGGCAATCACAGGACTTAGCAACGGAAAACCAAAGCAATCCCTTGATACTCTAGACGCTCAATTGCAAATTGTTTTTAAGACCTTCGGCCCGAAATCGATTAATTTACAGTTTCTTTTGACTTTTTGTTAGAAGATGACGAAAGCAAGGCTGAGGAAGATCTGCCTCTTGAAGATGCTGAGGAATCGCTCTATCGTGAAGAGGAGCCATGGACGAGTGATGACGAAGCGGAATCGTTTAATGCGCCAACGGAAGATGAAGAAGATGAAGCAGAATATTACGACGAGGAACCCAATGATGCTGAGGTGGAAGAGAGCGAACAAGTTGAGGATGAGGCCCCTACGAATGAGGATGAACCCGAAGAAGTACCGGACGACGAAGCCTTCGAAACAGCTGAAGAGGGAGTTGAAGCCGCACAAGATGATGGGGCCGATAGTGCACCAGTGGAGGAGGACACAAA